CCGAGAGGACAGAAATAGTTGCTCGTTTCATAATAGCCATCGTTTAAAATAGCTAACGTTAACGTTGATTAATCAGATTGATCGCTAAATTCCACCGAGACGCGTTCATTTTTGTTCCTTGCAAATGTAAATTGCAAGCGAGAGGTTATAATCCATAGTCTTACCCGTACAGCAGAGAATAGCTTTCGATTAAATATGTAACGCGATAAACATCTTATTCGGAACGAGAAAGGGGACCGATCGAATATTTATATCTCCGTGTGACGTCGATCGCTTCTTAACGATAACTCACGTAATTTCTTGTTTTCGTTCTTTCGAGGCGGGTAAAAATTTATATCGCATCGGGGGAAAAACTTGGGATCGACGAATGATAAAAAAGTCGAAGAATGCAAATATGTATCGTGATTCGCCAAGCTCGATTTATATCCGGGTAAGATCGCGCACAATTTCCACAACTTTTCGCCAGCGTCTTTCCGAAAATAAACCCTGCCTCGCGATTACACGCATGTGCGGTAAAGCGATGCCGCTTGTTTTGCAGCCTTACTTTCGAGATGGGCCACCACCAACTTTCCAGACTAAAGAACGAGTGTACTCGGAACTGGCAGACAGGGGGGAAGGAGAGGAGAGCAATGGCAAATGGCATAAGTTGGCCCGAGTAAACTCACCTGCTATTCTCCAAGGCTGGAAAATACGTGCGCTACAGGGAGAAAAGGACGAAGGGGGAGGGCCAACAGCGTTGGCCGAACAGGACGAACAGAAGAGAACGCGGAAAATACCTGTGTGCACGAATAACCAAGAATATAGAATATAGTAAAATATATATATATTTCTACACACGTACATTCATATATTCGTACGAGATGAATGTAAATTTCAAGGATCGAGCGGCGGGGATCGAGCGAGTGTCCACTCTGCACACCGCACGGAAAACTTTTGTTGAGCGTACTATGTAATGTCCTTTAACTCTTCGAATCGCCACCATCGTTTCCACCACTACTGCTACTGCTACTACTACAGAGGACACGGTACGGGCACCGCTTCTCCCAAGGGTTCACCACTTTTCAAACCGTCCCAGCATCCCGGTTCACGGTAACGCGCACGTCGGCGAAAATAGTTTTGGACGAGTTAACAAAACGGCGCCGAGAGTTTCCGAGTCTAGCGCCGATTTACGGCTGGCAGACGGTCGCCCTTTGCATGCTTATTTCACCACTTTGCCCCGCTTCCACCGCCGAGATAAGAGTAGATGCGACCAAGATGGAAGGATTAGGAAGCCAGCTGACGAGATTAACGAGACGAATCGAGACGTCACCGAGCTTTCGGAAGCTCGGGATCGGACAATGTTATTCGGATCCCCGAGTAATCAACGGATATTCGCCTTAATCGGGATCGATCGATTCCGTCGAATCAACGAATTTTTGCTCAGCGAATGATCGCAAGTTATGGTAAAGAGAAGAGGAACATATAGAGCGAGAACATTGAAATACGATTTGAAATGTAATTGAACATCGTGTGTGTGTGTGTGTGCGGATAAAACGGGAATTTTAATAGCGCGTTTATTTCACATGCGCACGTATAAAACTCGATTACTCGAAATATCGTTTAAAATTTACCGTGAAAATATTGATCCATGATAAATGCTTCCATTAATGTTTATGAAATATTTGTAGCGTAAGAGCGATGCAAACATTACGAATCATTGGGAAACGAGTCATGTTAAATTCATAACGTGGAAATTCCTTATGGCGAATCGTTCCATATCGATGCGCGTCAAATATATCGGAATCCGCGTATCGACGATTGTTCTTTTCGAAAAGTAGAGGGAGGGGGAAGAAGAAGAAGAAGAAGAAGAAGAAGAAAAAGAAGAAAAACGAACGGAAGGAGAAGGAATCGAATCACGCTCACGAGAATTCGAATTCTCGCCGATTGAACGTAACGTTCGATGGCCATATTTATTTCGATCTTTGCCTCGGATATCGACGAGTTAGTTACCTATCCTGCATGTACAAACTTTCATGTACACCAAACGACCAGGTTCGTTCGACGCGAGTAATAAGAAGTGACGTGTAATTTCGCTCGACCTACATTTTACTAGCGATTCACTTGACGCACGACGTTTTAAGAGAGAGAGTCTCACCAACCCCCTCGAATGTAACATTGATCGTCCCCCCATCGAAACCTCTTATTCGCGTCTACCGCATTTCTTCTCTCTCTCTCTCTTTTTTACCTCTCTTTCCCTCCCTTTCTTTTTACCCTTTCTCTCTCTCTTTTTCCCTTTTCTTTCGAAGCGGTGTCGTCGAACCAAGCGTCACAAGAAACGAACGAAATTAATAAATCCATCGCTCGGCTTCGAGAGCCCCCCCCCCCCCTCCGCTGTTTGATGTCGCAATCAGAAGATTAATTAATCCGTCGTCCTCTGTAATTACGTTCCCACGATTGTCGGACAGCCAACGACCAGCAGCGAGTTTTCCAAACGACCACCATCGCGACCGATGAAAGTTACAGAAATAATGGCTCGAATTCGGTGGATAGATTCGATGAATATTTACGGCCTAGCTACGCCGCACAACGGACGCTTGCAAAGCTTTCATCATCCGCAAATATCAGCCCGAATCTGGTCGGCACGATGATGGGTGGTGCGCGCCCATTGTACGAGATGTCGATGACAGGATGACGCTCCTGAATCGCGCCGACAACGTCATAGCCAAGGTGGGGAAAAAAAAAAAAAATACGCTGGATTTAACTTAGAGAAGGCGAGAAGAAGAAATGGAGGAAAGGGGCGTTAGATTTAAAAATCTAAAACGGTGCTCGCGCGTAAGTCGACGTCAGACTTGGAGAAGGAGCAGGTGGAAAATTCTTTCCCTCGCGCGAATTACTCTTTGCTCCCGTTTCTCTTTTTCCCCTTTTTTCCCTTCCTTTCCTCTCTCCTTCAACTTTCAACTGCATCCACCGATGCAGAGACCGAGCCGCGACGCGATTAACGAAAATTGGCCACGCTTGTCTACGGAGGATCAGCCGGAATAGGATTAGGTGTCCTTTGCACCGGTTCAGGATTTACGCGTTTTCAATTAAGGATATTTAACCGGACGACGACGACTGTCCGGCTCAAACATGACGCGGAATTATCTCGAAAGGAAAACGTTCCGCCGAGGGGAGAGCTAATATAAGTAACCGCTCCGGAACAGCTCTCTTTAGACTCTATTATACACGCTATATATACCGTGAATTCTCCATATCTGCACGGAAACTTGCACGTTCATTGTTTTAAAACCACTCCCGCCACCGACACCATTTCCTCCCCCGATTTTACGCAAAAACTCTATACGTGGACAACTTTCCCATGCACGCTACGTTAATCTAATCGTGAATTTTGCACGTGCAACTATTATCGTCCTTCCGGTTAATGCACGTGCCAACCTTCGTTCGCATAATCCACTCACAATGTGGAGGGGGGATGGTACAATTGGAATCGAGGAATCGGCGAGAGATCGCGTAAAAAGCGCCATCTGTTTGGACCTATCCGCGGATACTGTTCCTCTTACGACTGTCCTCGAAGCGTACCGCGACAGAATACCGGTTCCCAAAGTCACGATTTATCGTAGGAAAGTTTCCCTCATTCGTTGAATTGAAACGAAAGATCGGGGAATTCGATTTGGGGAAACTACTCGTCGCGCAGCTATCCAACTCCGACCGAGAATTCGATTTTCCTTTTGCACACGCTCCAACGATATTGTTTCAGCGTTGACGCGCTTGTTATTCGTTCAAACACGCGGTAAATTAAAATCTTTCGCGTTGTTGTTCGGTAGTTAGAACACCTCCGCTGCGGAAAGCCGCGCGTTTTTCTCCCTTTTTTTTTTCGCCATGATTCGCCAAACGAATTTGAAAAATTTCAAGAGAGAGAGAGAGAGAGAGGAATACGTTGTTCTTTTTAACGGAGGGAACGGTCGATGGAGTTAAGACGTGAAAAGCAGGGGCGAATAAGTCGTAAAGGGGAAAAAAAGAAAGGAAAGAAAAGGAAGTGGCGCGATAAAAATCGCGGGGAAAATTGTCTTGGGTGTTGAAGAAATAAACGAGCCTAGCCCAGTGACTGTGACTGTGTTAATTAATCATTCGAGAGGCGGCGACGAGTTACTTGACTCTGATAAATTATCGCCATTCGGGGAATTAGCTTTCGGGACGTATACCTTTCATATCTGCATGATATCCATCCACAGTTGGATGGATCGTTCCTTCCTTTTCGAGCATCGTTCTAACACCGAAAACACCGAAAGAAGAAATGGAATGTGACAATGATGCATAGTACGCGAATACACGTACGAGGCGTATATACGAGATAACCAGTGATATTTTTAGAATTTTCCACTTGGCTGGTAATATTGGATCGAAAGAATCAGGATGAAAGAAGATTTGGGAGGGGGAGGAGATTGATCGATCGAGCCTGCGTTTCGCGAGCCAATTTTTTGCCTAAATATTTCGCGACACAACGTAGTATGCATTATCAAGGAATCATGACGCTGCGATTTCGCATTGTCGAACGCACCTGAACCGTGGATCCCATACACTACTATGGATCGGTAGTCGGTTATCACTAACGTTTACGTAGCGTTGATAACGCGCGCGCTTCATGCACGAAACTCCACGAGGTGGAACCAAGATAAATGAGCGAAATTCCGATGGGTCGAATGCATTTTGTCTCGCGCATCATTAGTCAACGCTTTATCGAAAGCGTTCCACCGAGTCGAAGGGGATCGATCCGAACGTTCGAAAAAGAAAGAAAGAAAGAAAGAAAGAAGAAAGAAAGAAGGGGGGAAAAAGGAACGGGGAGAGCTTTCCGCGATCCACTTGCTTGCATCTCTCCGCGTTAACGAAGAGACGAGAAACGTGAAAAGTGGGAAAAGGGAGGAAGGGAAGGAACGTTGAACGATAAAAAAGACGGAGGGAGAAAACGGTAGGAGGAACGGTTAAATAATTCGGTTGGTCGCAATAAAAACGTGTTCACGTACATTGTTGCCTCTGGATATCCCGGTGTGCATGATAACGGTGGTGAAGCGTGTCACGTGCCAGATGGACGGCTCAACTTCCGGTTCTTCCCGTTCGAAAAGAAAACTTCACTTGGGGTGTTCTTCTTTTTTCTCTTTCTTTTCTTTTCTTTTCTCCTTTTTTTCTCTTTTTTTCCTTCTTTTTCTTTTCTTTTTTTTTTTTCTTTTTTTTCGTTCGACGAACAATTCGAGGAACAAAAAAAAATGGAGAGGGGAAATGCGAACGAGAGAAAAGCAAAAGAAAGAGATGTAAAGAAGAAATCGGGGGATGGACGAGAAGCGAGAATGAAAGAGGGAGAGACAGAGAGAGAGAGAGAGAGAGAGAAGAGAGAGAGAGGAGGATAGAAGAAGAGAGAGAG